ATAATGAAGCAAGCKTCTTTCAAACTTGAAGTAGTAATACACATATGAAATTATTTTCCCCTTAGCATTTGAAATGAGCTCTTGGACAGATATCAACTTCTTGCAGACTAATTTATATTCATTTTTAAACTGATTATTATATTTAGTATACCATTATTCTCATTGGTTCATATCAGTATTTASAGGGTGCATTCTTGACCCTCAACCAATCTTATAATTCTTCTTTTCTGATATTTAAATGCACATTTCTACTAAGAAATGCTATGATCTCCTTAATTACTTTGTCACCTTTCTTGTTCACTTCTCAGAAGTGTCGCCCCTTTCACATTTTAATTTAAAGAAAGTAATATAAAAGGGAATAGTTAACGGACTACATCCAGTCAGAACAGCAAAAAGAAGAAAGGTGTAAGGTTCCTAGACTGCTCTGACAGGAATTTTCCACAAAATGCAGCATCCTCCATTTTAATTCTGGGCTACTGTAAAGCAAATTATTTGRTTTCTGCTTTGCTGAATATAATTTTAGCATATTAATAAGTAGCAGAGGCAAATAAGCACATGTAAATTTTCAGAGGTTAGGCATTAAACCAAAYAAAATGCAACTGTAGCACTCCCAAAACCATCTCTAAATTGTGTTGCTCTCTCAAGAACCCATCCTTTAAGGTTTTTTWAAACCTAATCTATCTCATACTAAACATTAACAATCTAATGCTAAAGCTAGAAGACCACCAAACTCATTTCCCCCCTTGATTTTTACCAACTTTAAGTCTATCAGTAACAATCTTATCCTCTTCAAGAGAGGAAAAAAACCTCCACCCCCCTTTTTTAATTCAGTTGATTTGCTGTAGTAGAGGAGAAAAATGATGCATTGACATGTCACAAAACTGACTAATAGTACACGAGTTCATCTATATACCTCAAATATTAATTTTACAAACCCTTCTTCCCCCATCCCCAAGACACKTAGCATATAATGTTTCTTTTCTCCTCTTATACTTAGCTTCTTACACATATTTATGCACTTTCTTCAGTTAGGAAATCTGTGATAAAATACAACATTCCTAATTCTSACGCCATCAAATAGCGGCCCAAGACATTTGCAAAAAGAAAAGCTACTTCTCAGTGCCTCCTCAAGACACATCTTGTTCATTGGCAACGTGGGTTACACCAGGATGGCCTTAACACATTTCTAGCACACAGTATTGCTATGGTAGAAATGCGTAGCACAGGCAGGTGCTGTGCCYCCAACACAGTAAATTCCTGATCTTTTCCGTAGGTTAGACAAGATTATACTTACAATTAGTAAGCCTATCACTTCGGAGTAAAATTCTCTTCCTATAGTAAAAGTTGTAACATTGTGACAGTATCAAATTTCMTAAGTGATTTACCCATGATCAGTGAGGGGGTGGAAGGGGAGACCACTAYAATCGAGGCAGGAATTGAGTCTAATTCAAGTTCTCCCTTTGTAATTAAGTGATTTTTTTTAAGTYGGTATTTTTAATGTGTGTGCATAGGAGGGGTGGAGAAACAGTTCCACAAGTTTTTCCTTATATAAAGACAGAGTGTCCTAGAAAATGGAATTTCTGGTTAATATCCAAAGACACAATTGTTCCAATGGTATTGGAACCATTATTATTGCAGGTAAGGTCGTAATTGAGAATACTTCATTAATAAAGCCTTGTATCTTTTTAATGTCAAAATTACACAAAGTAGTAAATACTGATGCTAACAAAAAAAACGTTTTCCTTCATTTTGACTTCAGAGTCAGGAGGGTATTTTCCTTTTTAAGACCAAACTGTACATTGATACCCTAGCAAAATGTCTTGAACAAAGAATATAGAGCACCATTTAATTTAACTTTACTGACTGTTTAGAGAATATAGTTCCCAAATTGTATGTTCAGCAAGGATTTAAATTTCTCTGTGAATTCTTCAGAACAAGGAAGTTATCTGAGCCATCTTATTTTACATTTTAGAGAGACATTCTTTTCTTGAAAGGATAAGAATTTAGAGATATTGCAGATTCAATGTCAGTAAACAATAAATATTCTGATGGGCTTTATGTAARTGGGCAGTAATGCCAAAAATATGAGAGCAGTCTGCATCCAATCATTGAAATATGCTATACTTGGCACTTTTGACATATCTTGCCTGGAGTTTCTAAAAGCAAAAGCTCATTTCAAAACAATGAATTGTGGTGAATGCAGTAGTTGCACAAGTTTAGCCATTTATGAGGAAAAAATCTGAATGTATCGAAAATAAGCACTTAAAGAATATAATCCTGAATAACCAGGAAATTTTTACTGACATAGAAGCATAGCTATTATCACTCATGAGTACATGACTTTGTTCTTCACTAGGTATAATAATAATAACAATAAAAAATATGGTTTAAGTTCTACCTCCTTATACCTCTTTCACTTACACATGTCAAGAACAAGTAAAAATATTTCACATATCTATGATGCAAGAAAAAAAATTATGCTCCCAGAAAGKGACAAGGGCAGATTATTTCTACTTCTGAATGAGGTGTCCTACATGGTATGATTCAGAGGAAAACACCACACRTGGAAAAAACAACACAAATGCTCAGATCTGAGCAGGATGGTGTGGGATTTTACAGAAGTAGTTAATATGCTGAMTTTGACATTAAAAGAAGAACCAAACACAACAATAAAAACCAGACCAAATGTAGGAGGATATATCAAGAGGACTTTTTGATTTTTGGTTAAAGCTTCTGGTATTTCAATTCAAGGCATCTCTCAAYCAGAATAGTAAAAACTTCCAAACATTATTACATCAGTACACTTCTCAAACACAGAGATGGCTTAAATTTCCTGCTCGAATCTTGAGCCCAAAATAACCCATTGTTACCAGCTGAATATGGACACCCATTTCYCACATGGAATTCTTAGCAGACAGTAACAAAAAGCTTTGCATATTACATTATTTTGSTAAGTTTTATCCCCACACGAGAAAAGAGAAGCAAATAAATTTCAAGCATCGAGCAAGAGAAGCAAATTTCAAAACATCGAGCAAGATTGCTGGTGTCATCTGTGACTTTGGGACAGTGGTATTAACTATCAAGTAGTTAAGTAAAAAAATAAACAAGAGTGTCAATGTTGCAGTAGCATAGCAGGGGATGGTAACTGGATACTGTGGAAAGATTTTTCACTGCATTTGAAAAAATTTATATTTCCCAAACCTCCTATCCCATAAATAAGGCAAATTCGTCTTAACAAAAATCAAAGATCAGGAGAGCTGTGAAAAAATACTCTTCTGTTTGCACCTACARTATCTTTTTTTTTTTCATATATCAGTTATGATAACTTTGCAAAAGTRAGAGCATAAGAAAACTCAATATTTTTCCCAATGTAATTGAGGAAAATTCCATAAGCTTATCCAGTGAGCTAGGAAATCCAAAATGTAGGCAATTCCACTTCTTTTCAATGCCAAATTCCACCACTTCTTTAAACAACTTCAAAAAATAGCTCTTAATAATGGACACAYATCACATTTCTACAGTCTCCCAGGGTCAACAGCAGACAATTCAGATCTTGACAGAAGTGCTCAGATACAAGGGATAGGCACAATACTTCCAGTTGCTCCTGAAAGCATCATCTCATTTCACTGGTAGTTCAGTGAGGAAATGAGTTAAGAATCTTTATAAAACAACAAAAGAAATGCAATACATTAAAGCATGGTAAAGGTTTTGATTCCTTAATTTGGTTGCATTACTACTTGAAATAAGTTGTGTGCTAAACTCAATATTCCTCATTACAGAATCCTACCTCATGTGTTTTCAGTTCTGCATGTTGCTATTTAGAGTCAGTAATCACCATTTGAGAATGAGATCTTATTTTCTGCAGAATTTTAATGGGTGATAATTGCAAAGGAAGATGCATGAAGTATAAGCAATTGAGCTTAGTATTAAGAAATCAGATGAACTAAATCTAGAACACAYAGAAAACATTCATATGATTTAAGAGGTCCAATAAAGTAAATTGGAAATCTCACAGAAAGGCTSTCGATCAAAATGCCCACCATCCACCATCTTTTCAATGGAAAAATCTACTTCACTTATCTTTTATCCTTGGTTTTAAAAAATAGTCTAAGGTTTGTGAAAGAAATTAAAATTTTAGCCATTTTATTTCAATCCAGAAGAATTAGGAGAACTAAGCAATCCTCAAATCCTCTCCCCAATACAACCAGAAGACTGAACATCAGGAATACACATCTCTACAACTGTTCATGGATATACAAAGCCCAAAACTCATTACTTTATTCATATATTCTTGGACTGTATTTCCATTAAAGAACCGACTAATATTTACTAGAAGAAATAATATTTATTTCAATTGACATCTCAGATTTCTTACTTTACAGAGAGAAAAATCACCCCCTTCCCCAAGTGATGMAAGTGGATTTTTCAAGCCTCGTAACAGAAAATCTTCACACCTGCATCACCCGGGAGCTGCAGAGATCCTTAATCTCAATAGTTGTGCACTTAGTGTAAGGTTAGACAAGGAGMATTCCTACTGAGGAGATATTTAGATAAGAAGCTATAGCTCTCTCTGGGCATACATGCATTTCATATGTGAAATAACATTATATACAAACTTCATCTGCAGTTTTAAGTAAAGCTTGATGCCAGCATATTTTGAAAGACATTTACTTCCACTTTCAAAAGCGAACATATAAACCAATAAAAATTATGCATAAAGTAATAGGMATATATTTTATTTGCCATGCCTTGAATTCATCAAACAAGCATAAGGATTCTTTTTCTGCTTTTCTTAACATGAATGCAGAAGTTGACTTTTAGCCAAGACAAYCTAAGGATATGACACAAATGAGGTATAGGTAAAAGTGTCACAGCTTTTTTTTAGAAATGCCTGTGTTGATAATTCCAATTTAGATTACATATAGGTACATGTTCTAACTTAGCACATTCAAAAATATCCAAACACTTGAACAAGTTGAGCATATTTTAAAAGGACTTACTTTTATTGTAGCAGGTTGCCAGCACACCTTTATCTGCAGGACTGGTACTAATATGCCAAATTTCACCCACTTGATGAAGGAGAACATTTTTGTTTATAATGTTATTTTCATCATCAAAATCTATGATGTGAATCTGCAAATGCAATAAAAAATAGAGCATTAGGGTTTCAAAWGTTTTTCTGTGGGTCTTAATTATACATGATGACTACATGGAACAATTTAATGAGATTTTTGTAACCAATATCGACTTGAATTAATTGTTATGCTAACAATTTACTATATCATTAATTTCATGCAGGATTAACTTTTCTAGGAAAACCCAAGCAATTTCCTTGTTTGAGGAAATATCATGCTTATTCTCAATTTTCAACTTGAAGCTTGAAGGTGATTTTTCAATTTATGGCTAATAGTAAATAAGCCATGTGTTACAGTTCAACACTTCTAACAGCAATAAACAAAAATAGCAACATTACAATCCTTAGTCTAAATATCTGCACTGATTTTGTATCCAAACCATCTAATTCAAACCATCTACAAGAAAGAAGGAGAGGGAAAGGACTCTTCTTTGAAGCAAATACTTTACACTCAGTCAGAAACTTTTTTAAAGTTCACTTTTGCAGTCACATATCTTTACGAAAATACAAATCTGATCTTTTTATACTGAATGGAAACATAAAATACTGAAAGATGAAGAAAAACAATAATATTTATACATATAGATAATATTTTTAAAAGACAGAACTAAGTTTGCTTTTTAGTATTTTCAGTTTTGTTTGTTTCAGGTTTCTTTGCTATGGGTTCTTTGGGATTTTTTAATAGGTCTACATTACTATCATTTTTCCTCCCTTTTTTTACTCAGTTGTTTTTCTATAGTTGCCTCAAAAATACAAGAAATTAAGGAAGACTCTAACCYGGTGTAGATAGAGAAGGAACTTTACTCATGGGACTAATTCCCCTAAGGTCAACAGTGGACAAATAAATTTAGAAGACTCACAAATTTTAAAGTACTGTATCCTCAATAAAAATTAGTTTTCAAAGTTGGGCAAACAATGAAGAGGGAAAAAAAGCCAAGAGACATCCTATCATCACGACTGAACTAAGTCTACTGAATTAACTACTGAATCACTGCAAAAATCTTAACCATGCAGAAATACAGRAGCTGCAATATAGGTCTCAACTCCATCTAAACACTAGAATTTTCAAGGGGCTGAATTTACATGTTATCTTTTTCTTTATTGCCTAAACAGTCATCAGCAACTTCTCCTTCAAATATAATCCTGGACCTCATTACCTGTATTATTCTTCCATTTTGTCATCCAAGGCATGGAATCACCTCTGCAGTTGATCAGCAAGTTGTCCTTTGAGACTACATTTGCTGCCTTGAACCTAGGAACCCAGCCAGGAATYAAGACACTATCCATCTACCCCAACAGCTGCATATCCAGCTTGAAGAGCGGAAAAGTCTACCTTTCAAAAAAATCAGTTTACCTCATACCTTGTTTTAGTTTGGAGTATCCTTTGGCAGCTCAATCCAAGTCTCTCACAACAGAAAGTGAATCACAAACCTAAATCCCATTTACCACAGTCACACACATTCTCTGCTTACACTAAACAGGTTAAAAGAGTCACCTGGCCGTAACAGAGTCCTCCTTACYCCATATGAAGCCCTTTGAAGGCATAGAGAACCAATTTCTCTCTGCTGTCATGTTTAGGATTCAGGTGACAACATGGACAGCTGTAAACTGGTGGAACACACAGGTGGCTGATGAAAGGCCCAGACTGATTCTTTTAGGAAATACAAAACTTAATTCTTATACCTCAGTATTGTTCACACCTTGTAAGTTGAAAAATTACATCTTTCATAGCTATGCCAATCAGTATCATCTACCAGATAGAACTGACAGAACTGCAAAAGTTCCCCCAATGGTTTATTGCTAAGGATCTTCCTACACAACCCGATTTAAATACATGRTAAATTGTATTTTCCCTATGGAATAGCAACTTCACTAAATACTAAGGACAACAGAAATTTCATAGAAAATACTCCAATATCAAATACCACCATGTTAACCATTAAACCAYGTCCTCAAGTGCCATATTCACACATTTTTTGAACCCTTCCAGGGATAGTGGCTCCACCACTTCCCTGGGCAATCCGTTCCAATGCTTCACAGTCCTTTCCATGAAWWTTTTTTTTCCTAATATCCAGCTTAAACCTCTTCTGATATAATTTAAGGCTATTTTATCTCACCTGTCCTGTTTCTGGTTGCCTGGGAGAAGAGACTGACCCCCCACCTGGCTACAACCTCGTTTCAGGTAGCTGTAGACAGTGATAACACCCCTCYCTAAGCCTCCTTTTCTCCAGACTAAACAATTCCAGCTCTCCCAGCTGCTCCTCATAACAGCTGTGMTCCAGACCCCTCACCAGCTCCATCACCCTTCCATGGACACACTCCAGCACCTCAAACTCTTCCTGACAGTGACAAGCCCAGAACTGAACACAACATTTGAGGTGCTGAGTACAGGGGATGCAATGCATTACATTMATAAAGCATGAAAATTAATATTTTTAGGTTCTAAGACACAAAAGTGAAAATAACTTGAAGAGTTATKAGAATGAGATAAGAATAAATTACATACTTGGGCATTTCTAATGCATACAATAAATGCATTAAGTTTAGCAACAATGGAAGTAAAGAGGACAAAAGTTCCAAAACTACACCATGTAGAAAACAGTGCTACTACTTAAACTATTTGCAGCATGTCATAAGGACCAAATGCCAAGTACTATACACTATTAATATATCATGTATTGACAGAATGTAAAATCTTATAAACATTTTCGTTTCCTTTGAAATACTAGTGTTAATAGGAAATATTTTCACGTAAAATATATTCTTCTATAAATACCTAAAATTGCTTCATTCAGCACTAAACCTCAATGAGGCAAAAGTTATCATGCCAGCTGTAAAATTATTGCTCTTTTATTTGCACTACACCTGGCCATGACCAGAAGGGAAGAAATAATCTGCACATGATAAAACCTCTCACTGTGCAGTACTTGGTAAAGTATTAAGTGTTGCAAGCCAGCTCATAAGTTTGGCCAGGTAACTAAAAAAGTTTTTAAGCAAATATAAGAACCTAGTGCTGAATTAAGTTATAATGAGCTGAGGCCTAGGGCACTTCTTGGGGATTGAGGAACTAGCTGAGAAGAAATGATGGCCTGAGGCATAGCTAAAGGCCAATAACCTCCAAACAGTTGTTAATACACTAGGAATTGTCCTGCATTTTTATTGTTAATGTTATTAATTGGAAAAAGAAAAGCATACTCTAAGCAAATGCAAATCATATGCAAATATATCTAAAATGCATTGTATATACCMAATAAACTTACCAAAATCAGAAAATTCAAATAGCCAGCAAATTTTAATTATCTAATGATAAATGAGAACCACTCTTCAACAACAATTTTGTATCAGAATTTAATTAGTTGACCAAGTAGCAAACCACCACAGAAATCACAGTTAAAAAAYATATTATAGCCAAATATTTGAAGGGCAAGAGACAGCACAATCAAAAATATAATTGTGTGAACTTCCAAGTTCATCTGCCACTTCTTTTGTTACTCTTTGCCCGACTATTATTTGAAATAATATATTTACTATAACAATAACTCAGTTACATAATAACATATATAATACATATGTATAATAATAATAATTCAACTATAAATTAACTGAATACTCCATCCCCCTTRTGCCTTGGAATAAGACTTGTCTTGAGTCTCATCCAGCATTATCATTGAATAGTGAACTCAAAACCTCCCTGGCAATGGACAGCTCACATTGCCAAAGCTGAGGCTCCAAGTACATTTTGTGCAGCCCGTTGCAAGCTATTTTCCAAAGAGTTGGKCACTATTCCATTCCAGGGACTTCTGTGGTGGGTATTAGCCTTATCTAACAGACTCCCACCCAGACACCTGCTACCTCCAAGAAAGAAAGGGGAGAAACCAGGAAGAACAGGAATGAGATGTGTCACGCTACAGAAGGGAGGTCACTTAATAACTAATATTCTGGGCAAAACAGATTTGACTTGGATGAATGAATTAGTTTATTGACAGTTAAAATAAACAAGTACTTTCTCTTCTTCACTTTCCAGGCTGAATCTCATCCCAGACTCCTCGGACCCTTTCAAGTGGGGCAGGGGGATGTGGGGAAGTGGTGGTGATGGACATTTTCTTTCTGATGCTCTTTGTATCTCACTTTTTTCCTCTGCTTCAGCACAGGGCCTTCATGAGAAACTGAGTCACCTGTGTCCTGCAGTGGATTCACTRGAACCAGCCTTGTGTGGCACAGGCAACCCCTGGCCTCTTCTCAGAGGTCACCACAGCAGCTCTCCAGCCACCCAAACCTTGCCATGTGCACTCAGTACAGCCTTCTAACCCTTTCAGCCTCAAGAACTTGTTTCAGTATGAGTTCTACTGAGATTCAGTCACACAAATCGAAATTGCTGTACAASTCCTACTCCTAACTGCAGAAGAAACACCCCAATAGAAATTGAGCCATGAAAGTAACTCAAATTTTAGTTTGAACTGTTAAACTCATGATCAGAAAGGACACAGCTGATTGCCAATATTGAATATTGAAAAATCCAGTTTATTATGCTTGACTGAACGGCATGTGTACCAGGAGTCCYATTAGAAGCAATTAAGGCTTAAAGAGTTTTGTTTTACTTTGCATCTCTTCTGGGATTTAAAGATAGCTCCAGAGCCTCTACAGATTCAAATTAACTAAAATTTGGCAGCTTCTTTATTAAACCTATCTGATTTAGTCATACAATTAAGAAGAGCAATATGATTTTCAGAAAATACACATAGCTTTCATTCACCTAYATTTCTTACCAATATCTTTACATTCTACCCACAGAAGTCTTCGACTTGACTATCAATTAATCTTCGTATTCAACAGCGGGAGAAAGGGAGAGGAATGATATTAGAACAATGTTACAAAAAGAGGCAAAAATTACAACTGACATTTGACAGAAAAATTACCTGATTATCATATCTAAGAGACTGTGTTCCAACCAAAAATCTTATTGCATCYGTTTCTGCTGTCTGAGGTGTTAAAGCTCGTGCCTAGGGAAGAAGAAAGCCATTAGAAAAATACAGTTAATAAAATACACTAATTTCAGCAAAAATCTTGAAGCTTCTATATCAATTATCATTTTAAGCTTCACATTCTTACAAACTGAAGACTTTCCTGCCCYTTATGTCCATTTTAGTTATTATATTTTTTGTGCAATTTCTCATACTTGTGAGGATTGAGAAACACACAGGTGCTAAATACATTACCTGATCTTCATTATAACAGTGATAACATTAAATGAAGCAGYTTTTCCAAACTAATTTTCTTTTATCATCTGAAAAAGCTCCATAGAACACTGGAAAATTTTAAACTACTGTTAAAAAATAATGTGATATCCAAGAAAGAGACWGTTCTTACAGAAGTCTTCACACCACTCAGGTTGAATATGCCTGTATAAAAATTAAATTTTTCTCACCATTAACCACCAATTTTAGGAACAAATTAAAAACCTCTTCTAATGCAGTCCATTAGAGATCAGAATTGTCTGAATGATGGGAGAAATAATTTATTTACCTATAAAACTTTTGTCATAATCTTATTTCTTTGTTGTATTATGTTAATGGCATTGCTAGAATCTCTGCCTTGCTTCAACTTCYGCCAACCACAGTCTTGGAAGAGTGAAACAAAGCAGTTAAGGGCCATGGGAGACGCTGTTAAATAAAACACAGCTTGAACTAAAACCACAATTGACTATTTTGCTCTTGTCATTTCTAGAGACTCTCTCAGACAATTTTGAGTAAAGTGAAGGTAAACGAGTACTCAAAAGCATTTCTAGCAACCATAAATTACCTGTGAGGAATATCTGCTACTTCTCCATGCAAAAGATACCCTTAATAATATTGTTTAATATGAATTTTTTAATCTAAAAATAGATTTTTGCAATTCACATCCTATTTGGCATAAAATAGCTCAGGTATCTCCAGACACTAAAACCTGTATTGCAAGCAAATACTTCTGAAGGATTCAGGTAATTGCTGAACAATCATTCTTACTGCCATCCATGCAGCTTGTGATCTTCTGGATTCAGGAACATTTCAATATTCTTCTATTTGAAACTTCTTTTTAAATTAACATAAAAAAGATGCCTAAAACCTTAAAAGGAAGTATCTGGAATACACTACATCACAATACCCAAATTTACAGCAATTTAATTCTAGAAAAGCTACTTAAAGATATTTTACATTTCTTAAATAAAGCACAGCCATGCAAGTCATTGTCTGGCAACAGAAATAAGAAAAACCTAATTTTTCAAAAATCATGTCTGGACTCATACAGAGCAGAGACTTTTCTAGTATCTGACGTGATTTAGAACACTCTAGTATCTTTYGAAAGAATGAGCATAAAAAGTTAAAAAATGCAACAAGCTTAGTAAAGTATAGGCTAATACACCTATTACRTTTAAAATACCTCTATAGGGGGAAAAACCAGCACTAAAGAATATAATGAGTAGTTTGTCTTCAAAACACTCAAATGCAGATCAAAGATCAGTGTGAATCCATACCAATTTGCTTTACTGTCTTATTTATGCAGCACTCATCTACAACAAGCCTAGAGTGCATTTCTGATTGACAGATAACCAAAGTCCACAAAGATGACTGCAGAAAAGCTTTTGTCTTTAACAGAATCTACATTTGCAGATCTTTGGCAAGAGTCTTTTCATTCAAAAGACCTGCTTTCAATTATTTTGAGAAAACACCCAACAGCTATGTATCCCTTCAATCAAAGAAGCTTCTGTTGTTTCTGTACATCAAAAAGAAGAAGGGACCTCCAGAATCTTTAATAAAATAAAGAAATAAAAGAGGTGTCCAGCTCTTTTAAAGCTTTTCAAGTAGGCTTTATCATGCTATTTTCAAAAATGAATCAAGCTGRACACAAAGTGCCCAAAATAAAATTGTGTAAATACATAGTAATATTTATGTCCTCAGCTTCTCCAGCTCATCCTTAAAATATTTTATTTTCCATTTTGCAAAAAATAAGGGAAAAAAATCAAAGGCATGAGAAAACAAAAAATTAATACATTTCACAACACAAAACACAATATTGTTTATTCTCTGACAAAAAAATCCTGTAATATCCATACATAAGATACAAAGTTCAAACTCATCAAGAATTCATAAATCAGGAAGACTCTGATTCAAAACATCAATAACAGCACAATGGACTTTCAGTTGTCTCCTGAACAAAAATATGTGTAATTTTGTCTTCTCTGAGTTACTCTGAGAGAAAACAAAGTTCTTTCAACAGATGAAGACACCAAATAATCCTTGTAATGAACAATACAGCTGAACCTGGAGCACTGTCAAGATCAAGGAAAGTGCCTTAAGTTTGTCATCTTGTACTGTTACCTGTCAGAGCAGGTTGCAAATTGCAACCTTTCATAAARCATCCTGTCTTATGACTGCAGCTCATATAAAATAAGCAAAAAAGTGCAGTAAAATGAATATTGATTAAAGTAAACCAATGGAAATTATTATTTTTCTAAGTCTGCACCCACAGAACACAAAACTGTATATAGMCAAAAAAGTTTACTACTGGGCTTACCTGGAAAGGGACTTTTCACATAGTAATAGGACAAAGGGGAATAATGGCCTTAAGCTCAAGGAAGGCAGATTTAGATTGGACTTTTTTTTTTTTAATTCTTTATTGCAAGACGATGAGGCGCTGAACAGGTTGCCCACAGAGGCTGTGGTCTCCCTGTCCCTGGAAATGTTCAGGACGAGGCTGGAGGGAGCCCTGAATGACCTGGCCTGGTGGAAGGTGTCCCTGCAGATGGCAGGGAGRGGCTGGAACTGGATGATCTTTAAGGTCTATTTCAACCCAAACCATTTTATKATTCTACCCACGATATTAAACTATTACTTACTAAGAAAATTGCCATAATGCTTAGAAAATACGCAGAATACACATCTGAAAGATGCAAACAGCGAGAAAACAAGTAACCCTTACACATGCTGTCATATMCTACCTGATAGTACTAGACAATGCGACAACTTATGCAATTGCATCATTTCATTTTTAAAGAAGGCCTAAGACTAGAAAAAAATATTAGCACCCRAAGTTTAAAACATTGTGAACCACGATAAACTTTTTGGCTACATGTCCAAATTTCATATTTATCAACAGCCCTATGAGGGAATGTGCATGGTTTAAAAGTACGCAGTTTTACAAAACATGACAAAGACTAAACTCSAAATCCACTACATAAAATAGATATGTAAAGGACCTTTAAAACCCTAGAATACAAGTGTGACAGTAGTATTAAGATAAAACAGAAGAAACAACAACCACTGCAGCAGAATGCAGGTAAGACTAACTGGAGACTGGGCATCRTGTCTATGCCAACACCATGCTCAGTGTGATTTTGGGCAAAGATCACCTTCTACCTTGCCCTTGACAACTTAGGTGACCTGCAGAATAATAAAAACCCCCRAGGAAAAGAAATATAATAAAAGGCTATTGTCCTTGACAACAGCAAGAGAGAATTCAGAGRAACACAACCACAAACCTCAAAAGGGTAAAGAAGATTGGTTTAAACTGACCAACACTGCATTGTGGATTTGCAATACACTGATTCTCTACACTTCGTTTGTAATTTCTTGCACTTCTTAACTTGCACTTCTCAGCAACTTTTGAAATACCAGCTAAATGCACAAAGTTTTGGTTTCTTGTTTTTTGGTTTTGTTTGGGTTTATT